TTTTTTTTTTTTTTTTTTTTTGCTTTGAATATAAAAATCCACCCCCCACTTCGCCCTTTAGTTCTCTTCACTCATTTGACTTCTATTCTTCAACACGTCACATTGCTCTCTTTCTTTTTTTTCTTTGGGGTTTTAGAAACACCAACGTGGTTTACTCTGCTCCAACTCCTGTCGTTTCCGTTCGTAGACAGACAATCGCTTCCCTTCATGTTCTGGTTGTTTCACTGTATTATGATACGTACGTGTTTTGGGAAGAATCTTTTCTTCTTCTTTTTTTTCTTCTTGGTGAAAGTACTTGGATCCCATTTTGTTTCTTCTAATGTAATCATTATCTTTATCAAGACGATTTAATCCATCCACATCTCCAGAGTCAGTATTTGACGTCGCTTCCGTATCACTTTCTTCATATTTGTAAAGCCAAGATACATCACGTTTATTACCTTGATGTTCATCTTCAGTATAATTTCTCTCTGGAGGAAGCCACGGAAATTCAGCACGTCGCTCAGCTGTACCACTATTTTTCTCATACTCATTCATTTTAGAGACCCCATACTTTATTTCATCCTCTTCCTTTAAATATTCCCTAGGTACAAGCGCCTTTGAGCGCAATGGAACTCTAGAAAAGGAAGGAGTTAAAGGAACACCTCTTAAGGATGAATGACTATGTGCTGAACGATATAATGTGTCATCTTCTGCATTATGCGAAGAAGACGAACGTCGTTGTGTTCGACCACTCTTTTCTGCTTGCTGAGTTAATCGGTTAGATGTTTTCATTTTTGTACTCTTTTGAAGTTTAGGTTCCTCATTTAAGCGTTCTACCTCTGCAGCAAGTTCTCTGTATTCCTTGTTAAGCTCTCGTAGACCAGGGCGTTTTTTACCATGAACTTTTTTATTTGTTTCATTTCCTTCTTCTTTTGTTTGTTTATGGTCTTTCCCTTGTTTTTCTTTTTGTAACTGTTGAGAAGCAAGAATAGCTCCATAATATTGCGCATAATACATCATCCATGCATAATAAGCCTTGTACCACTCCATCTGACGATAATTTGACATTCGACTCCAATCTTCACCTACTGATGGTGGTCTCATTGGTGGAGTACATTTTGCTCCATAATGAAATGATGGAGCAGCAGTTGGTGTTGTTGCTGGTGGTGGTTGCCTTTGTTGTTCTTGTTCTTGCATAAATGTAGCACTACGTAAATGATTAGTGAAGTTTACATCTATTGCAGGAGCAGCAGGTACACCCATTGGTCTTCCGGGGTCATACATAGGTGGTGTCTTCAGTGGTCTAGACGGTAAACCAACTCTTGACGAAGAATGTATAGAGATATCTCTTCTCTCCTGCCTTTGGGCTTCTTCTCGGACTAAGACATCTTCCACTTCTCGTAAAAGATCTATAACATCACTAGTATCCGGTTCACTCTTGTCTTGTGCCAATAAATCTAAACGCTGCAAAACTCCTTTTTCTGAGACTCTTGCAGGACTTTCTCTATTCGAATATGATTCCCACCGCTTTGATGGATCACGTAACTCACGTGGAGAATGAAGATAAACTCCTTGTGGAGGAGGTGTAGGGGCAGTAGTACTAGCCGTGCGAGGTGAGAGATTTTCTGTTCGTGAAACTCCCATTTGTTCAAGTTTTCTTGCATAATCGGCCCAATAGTCAGGGGTTGGATTGTTATAATTCATACCCTCTCCATTTTGATATTTTCTACTAATATCATCATAATCAGCAGCAAGATTATTATTAGTATTCCCATAACCCGGATCAGCACCAGTAAGTCGGGCCATGCGATCGTGGTACTTTTCGTGAAAAGCCAACTGTTCTTCTGCACGTCGATAGTGGGTATTAAAAAGAAGAGGCTCGCGCTGCACAGGAGGTGCAGCACCCATTGACTGCATGGCACTCTCCAAATAATAAAGAACAATAGACAGAGAAAAAAAAAAAAAATGGAAAAAAACCATAACAAAGAAAGAATAACAATACATATATACATATGTATAGAAGAAAAAAAGACGTTAAAGTATTTACCCTGGTTCCTCTCACTTCATCACGATAAAGAATTAAGAAACGTTTTCACACAAAAACATACAACCACAGAGAATATTGGATTTTCGTTTCAATAACGAGGTTGCAAATTTATTACACCAATATATTCTCCCCTCCTCCTTTTCCTCCAAAGAAATATATATATATATATATATATATATATCACTTTCTCTTTTCCCCACGCCCACACGCTACCGGGTCCTCTATTTCTTCACGGGTGTCCAGACCTTCACGGTGCAGTCTGCGCTGTACGTGGCGATGATTGGCCGGCTGTCGGCGTGATGGACGGCGGCCCCCACGACGCGGTCGCGGTGCCCCTCGAGCCGCTCGACGAGTCCCGCCCCGCCCGCCTCCGTCACGTTGTACACACACGCCGTGTTCTCCACGCCGGCCGTCACGAGCAGATCGCACTCCGCCACCCGCCGCGGCTGCGCGTCCGTCTCGCGCTCGCCATCGTCGAAGAAGGCCGACACCCGCGACTTTTCCTTCACGCCCCTCCAGAACACCGCCCTGGTGGTGTAGCCACGCGTCGGCACGCCACTCACGAGATTACGCAGCGAAAAGGCATCGCCAGTGGTAGTGTTGATGCCAATATCACGATACAATCGAACCATATTATCAGTAGATACCACCACTAATCGTCTCGTATCGTCGCTGTTGTGGTGATATCCAATGTATGTGATGGCACTTTGCGATGGTTCATTCTCAATTACAGAAACACGTGAAATAGGAACACCAGAAGTTTCTTCCGCTGCTGCAGAAGTAAAAGAACCCATTAGCGTATTACCACCTGCTGATTCTCCATCCATAGAAGAATTAGAAGAAAGGGCAAGACCAACTTTACGAACATCCCATACAGCAATAGTACCATTATTATGTCCTGTAATTAGTTGAGCTTTTGCAGCATTAAAAGTTAAGGTATTAGCTCGTATATCATGCTTCCATGAGATAGGTTTTTGAACACGTAAATCTACAATAGAAGTACGTTTTTTTGAATCGGTACATGCAAAAACGAAAGCTTTATCTAAAGGAACTGCAGCAAGCACAAAACCAGTAGCACTAAACTGATAAACTGGTGATGTAGTACCACAGTTATTATTACCGTTATTGCTACTACTACCACTACTATGGCGTGGATCCCACACCTTTACTGTACCGTCAAAGGAAGCAGAAAGAACGTTTCCACTACTTTCAAACCATGCAACATCTGCAACATTTTGTTCATGTCCTTTAATATCAAGAACTTTTTCTCCTGTCATAAAATTATGAAGAATAACACGACAATCTAAACCACCAGTGGCAAGTATAGGTTGATCACCCTGCGAAAATGCCGCACATTGAATAGGTTTAGTATGCTCTCGAAGGTCACGACGATGTTGAAATTGACGATTAGATGAACTCTCTGTTGTCGCCTTTTCGTAAGCTAGATCACCTGCGTCTATTACATCATTAGATAAATTTACTATCTCACGTTGAGATACAGCTGCACGTAGTTCACGAATACCAATGGGTGTTTCTAAGGTAATTCCTTTTGAAGCTAATTTACTTACTGCAATATCAAGAAGAGCACTTAGATGATATAACTGTTTTTTAAGTACTTGATTTTCATGACGTACTTCTGCAAGACATCTCTTTAATTGCATATTTTCATGTCTAACCGTTGCTACAAGCTGAGTAGCTGAGGAAACAAGCGACCCTTCAGCCATTTTACTACACGTGGAACACCACTAGTAGAGGAAATTCCTCAGAATAAAATAAAATAAATAAATAAATAAATAAATAAATAATAAAAACGAATGAAAGCAAAAATAAAGGAAAAATATATATCATTATATAACAAAGAAAATAAGAGAAAATAAAAAAATATATAATAATAATAATAATAATAATAATAATAATAATATATTCAGTTCAATTTATATATGTGAAATCTTCACCATACACATCACCACTACCACAACGACTGTGTATAGAGTTAAGTATGTTTGGAACTACAAGTGCTAGTGACAGAAACAAATGTCAACATCTGAATCTTTATTACTGTCACCAGCTGAAACCTCTCTCCTTCTTTCCCACACACACACACACACACACAGAGAGAAAGAAAGAAAAACAAACAAACAAAGATATTTAAAAACATATACAAAAATATACCCAACACCTTATTAGCTCATGCAGACCATGTATCCACAACATATCGACCCTGTTTATGAAGTTCTTTCATATACTTCTGCCCACGTTCATCATCTCCATCACAAGAACATTGTACAACAATATCTTCCACAGTTGCAGCAATATCCTTTGGCATCGTTTTTGAATTTCCACATATATAAATGTAAGCCCCTTCATTTAACAATTGTGCTACACGCTTTGCATGTTGACCAAGTTGATGTTGCACGTAGATTTTCTTCTCTCTATCTCTAGAGAATGCAGGTATTACTTTCATTTGTTTTAAACAATTTTTACCTAGTTCATCCCATTCGTTATGATAAAGGTAATCTTTTTTCTCATATCTACAACCAAAAAATAATAGAATAGGTATATCACCCCATTCCTTTACATTTGCTGCACATTCTCGAATAATAGAACGAAGTGGAGCAATTCCAGTTCCAGTACCCACACACAACAAAGGAGATGGTTTCATTGGCATAAGCAATGTACCAGACCATAAAAAACAAGTGAAAATATCTCCAGGTACAGAGGAAACTAAACGAGAACTACAGAGACCTTTTCGCATACGTTTGTAAGGTGTCTGCCAAGATATCTGTGCAACTGTGAGATGAATCTCTGTAAGGTCAAATGAAGGTGAGGAAGAAATAGAAAAGAGACGTGCACGCATAGTGGGTATGTAACTTAGTAGTGTAGAAAGCGGTGGAGAAACCATGTGGAAATCACCCAAAACTTCTACTACATTTCTCTTTTCACGATGAGAATATGACATAAACTCATCCAAGTGATCAGATGATGAAAGTTCAATTAATCGTTCCTTAATTTCATCATCTACGGCAAACCGTGCAAGCATACCCAAGAAGGAACGATTTGCAACAGCTTCTAAATCCACGTAATGACGTAAAAAAAAACGAAGTGTCATTGATTTACCAAAAAATGGTTGATTTTTCTGTTGAATAAGTCCTTCAGATGTGTTAGGTGTAATACATATAATCATATCACCATTATATTTCATTTGAGTTAGAAAGTTCTCTATCATCTCCTCACTGTTACTACAGTAGATACCCAATGCATCACCAACTTCAAAGGAAAGTGAGTTAGTTTGTTGTACACCACCATCACCTTTTCTGCGAATGACATCTCGTGAAAAGACCAAATGATGAACAGCCTGAAAGTGATCTTCAGCAGTGAGACGATGATTTTGCCTCACAATACAATCAAAAACAGATTCATTATGGTATACTTCCTCCTTTACCGTATTTTCTTGCTGCTGCTGCTGCTGCTGCATACAGTCATTACTAATAGTAACATTATATTTCGTAAGAAGAGGAGCTATTAAGGGATTTTCTGTTGTCATTTCATCCTCATTTGGAGACAATTTCCCTAAAGATTTCCACAACTGTATCATCCAGGGAAGAAACACTTCATCGTGTCCCTTTGCGTCGCTCTCATCACCAAGGCCTCTGTTCACAAGCGGCACTGCACCTAATTGTTTAAGACGATTATGAAGCATTTTTCCCATATAATTAAATTTCTGATATAAAGAGTCCCCCACTCCAAAAACAGCAAACCGCATACCATCCATAGATGGGGCATTCGGTTGCAGCAATCGTACCCATGAAGTACGCATTGTCTCTGGAGCTTCACCCTGATTGGCGTTAGATGTAATAATCACTAACGGAGAGGCCTCTCTCCATCTCTCAAGAGGAAACTCATCCGCAGGTAAGCAGCGACACTGTTTAAAGCCTCGCTTCAACGCTAATGAGCAGAGAGTAAACGCCAAGTTCTCGGCACATCCAGTTTGTGTGCCGTAGAGAACTGTCAGAAGCTCATTTTCATTTTCAGTAGTCATTTTTTTTTTTTTATTTCTTACTTCTTGTATCCTACCTTATTCTTTAGTTAGTGGGTCACTAGATACTTTCAGTGTTTGGTTTATGTTTTTTTTTTTTTTTTCTTTTCGTTTCCTTGCCTTTAGTTGAAGAACAGAAGGGTTTGCAGAAACAAATAATTAAAAAAAACCACTTATATCGTTTACCACATCCAAAAAGAGAAAAAAAATCAATTGATCAATAAATAATAATAATAATAATAATAATAATAATAATAATAATAATAATAATAATAATAATAATAATAACACAAAGTAGCGCAAAAGCAAGACTTCTCGAGTTCGATTATTACCCCCTCCCATCCTCGTTCTTTTTTTTTTTTTTTTTTTTTTTTCGTTGGTTTTATGATTCCAGTACTTTTCTCACTTCCTGCAACACAGTTGTGTTGCTCGTTAGTTTTGCATGCATATCACTATTTTTTCCGAATAGTCGTGTGGCTATTGCATGTAATTTTGTGTTGGCCTCTAAAATATTACGTGTATACTCTCTTAAGATAAGATGTTGTAACTCCTTTTCACAGTTTAATAATAATTTATCAGGTGTTGTTGCCGTAGACATTGTTAAATTGACAATTTTCTTTACCTGATTACTTACCTCTGATAACTGAGACTGCCAACTCTGATTAAAATGCAAAATCGTCCGCATTGTTTCACTTTCCCCAAGTGGAGTGGATAATAATTCCGCGGAAGACTCTGCAGATCCATTCTCAGTAAAGAATTCACTTCCCATTTTTGATTCAGCGGCTTGAATAAAGTCAAATAAATATCCAAAGGTACCACTAGCTCTAGAATCATAGTCTACAAACCGTGCAAGTTCATTAGAAAGATGATTTTCAATACAAGTAATATGTAAAGAAGGTGCAACATAAAGCAATGGTTCCCTCTTTTCTATTTTTGGTAATTTTGTTGCTAATCGACGCCATAATGCCAAAATATAAAAAAAATTATTTACAGCAAATATATGCTGTGCCAATGAATTTTTGTGTCGCTTCGCAAGTGTTAATATAAATTCTGAAACAGTTTCTAATTCACGATAAATAACATTAGATACGGCAATATCATACACTAATACTTCCTGTCCATTTACCATGGATCCATTAAAGTTGGCAGAATTTAGTAATTCTAATTCTCCTGTAATATGAGAGAATCTCTGTATAATACGATGTGGTCCTAAAGTAGTAGCATATCCCCTATCTTCAAGCAGTTTACTTGAACTTATCATAGTTTCATTTGGAGCTAATAAGAAAGGTGAAAGTCGTAATGTTGTTAAAAATTGTATTGATTTTTGATCATTTGCCATAACACTATGAAGTGTACTTGTTAGTGTATTTTTGGTTAACTCCATAACTCCACTAAGAAGAAGAAGTGGTACCGGATCTTGTAATTGACAAAGATATCCTTTTACAATTTCAACTACACGAAGTCCAGCAAGAACACCTTGTCGTTCAGTCACTAGTGACATATCTTCTAATATACCACTTAAAGTAAAATCAAGGGATTTTTGCAATACAGAACGTGTTAATGACTCGGTCTCATCAAAATCTTCTTCACATGAGGATGAACAAAAAAACTGAGCAATAAAACGGCTTTCAGAAACATATAGTTCTACAATAAGTTGTATACAACGCATAAATTGCCAAACCCAAGAATTAACTCCTTCTAATTTTTGAACTTTTGCCTCATCAAGTGTAAGAATACCATTACAAATAATAAATGCATCTAATGCCAAAATAGTATCTTGTATTGTAGCATCTCGCATAACAATAGGACGATCAGATTTTAAAACTCGATCTGTAAAATTACGCATATGCTGAGAAACACTTCGTTCACGTCTTGGAAAAGGTTGAACAGGAAATACTAGAGCAGAAGCAGCTACGGTAACGTGATTACCTTTGGGCGAACCAGCATCACGATTACAAATTAAATCATGTACATCATCTGCAAGAATTATAGTATCTACACTACTGGCATTTAATGTACACATTTCACTAAATCCACGAAGTGCTAAACGAACAAAACGAGCAAAAACTTCTGACATACGTTTTAAATATTCTTGAAAAATTCGTTGTGCTACAGGTCTATTATAACTTTTTAAAAAATTCATAGCATTTTGACCTGATTCTTCTAGTAATGTCTTTTGTAACTGGTGAATACTTGAAAGATTCCCTGCTGATGCAAATGTAATTATTCGTTTGGTGAGATATCTTTGTAATTTATCACCAGCTCGTAAAGCTGCAGCTTCTAGACGTGGTCTTGTTTCCAAATCAACAGCTGATCCTGCAAGTTCTTTATTTGAAGAAAGAAAAGAAAGTTTTTTCTCTAACTCTGCGATATTTTCCAAGTACTCCTTGTCAACTTCCTTTTGGGCAATATCATCACAAAAGGTATCACATTTTTCCAGTACACTATATAATTCATTAAGTTTGGAACTTCCAAGACGTCTATTATTAATACTTCGTACTAGTGAAACGGTTTGTTGTTGCATTTTTACCATATCATCTGCAGAATCTGCTAATCTACGCTGAAATGCGATAATTTCTTCCTCAAAATGTACTAATTTTTCTTCACACTCCACAAATTCCATATATAAAGAACAAATATTTTCTGCCTCATCCACATGAGCTTGAATAAAATCTTCACGTAGGGCAGATAGTTTTGCCTCATGATGCTGAAGAACACTGTGAAGATCCATTTCATCCATAAGGTAATTCGTAATAATATCCCGCTCAACATCAGAATTACCACGCATTAACTCATCAATTTCATCTGGTCTAAGCGATACATGCTCAGTCTTCTCGTTTACTGAGAGTTCATTATTACTCATCTCCATTGACATTGTATTTGTGTACTATTATAGCCCTTTTCACCCTCCCAACACCACTAAAAATAAAAATAAAACAATATATTGTAACACCCCACGACTTTTACTCTGTTTTTTTTTTTTTTTTTTTTTTTCAACAACATTAGAATAAAAAAATAAAAAATAAAAAAAGAGAAAGGAGAAAAAAAAAAAAATAAATAAAAAAGATATCTTACACAAGTCCTTTATGTAGATGAAGCACATGCGTATGTCTGAATGAGTATGAATAATAAAAATAATAATAATAATAATAATAATAATAATAATAATAATAATAAAAGAAAAAAAAAAGAGGAGGCTCCAGGTAAAAATATTAATAGATCTACCACAGTTGCACATCATAACACTATTGTCGTCTTCTAGAAGAGGACAAAATCTCAGTTTTCTTACTCTCAACTCTTCTATTTTATTCTTTTTTTTTTTTTTCTTTTTTCTTCTTCTGTGTCTACCATACATTATCCTTTAACTCATAGATCATATGGCATGGTAACAAGTCTTCACAAAATACTCTGCTCTCGATATTCTGAAATACGCCCGGCTGCCATAGCGTTGGCACAATAGTAGTAGAAAACTTCCCCTTGTTCACGATGGGAAATGGGAGGAGCTGGAGGGGCAACATCACCTATTGTATGATCAGTTCCACGCGTTACTGCCGCATCATCCTCCATTTTTGCTTCCGTAACAACACCTGAATATATTTCATTTATTCCACTCTGAATAACAGGACTTGCTTCTATGTTTGCGTTAAGGGGAGAGAGGTGTACCACATGCTTTGCATTTGGCCAGTCATCCTCATTTTCTACAGAACGAGTAATTACTACCCTCGTGGGGTCTTCTAGATGTTTATTTTGATGTGTTGTATTAGTTTTTATATTCTCTGGGATATCTATTCTTTTCTGTGTAGGAGATGGATCGGTATAAAGATGATTCCCTCCTTTTTCTGACTGTAGTGACATTTGTGTTTGGTCGACTTCAGGTGTGTGTGATGCAGCTAAGTCAAAAGAGGAACGGTGGGAGAGCCGATCTACATGCGCTCTCCGGCGCCGTTCAAAGATCTCCTCCGCGATGAGCTGCCGTCGCACTTCCCGCACCAGTGTCAGTGTCTCTATGCGTGCTGCCTCATGTTTTGTGTAATTGCGGTACGCCAGTAGTTTATGTTCCTTGGTGCCTGTGTTGATGCCTGCGGCGTGGCAGGCGTCCAGTGCCGTGTCCACATTGACGCCGGCGGGGGGGCTGCGGTCCACCCACGGGGCCCCGCCGGCGACGAGGTCGAAGTGTTGGCGGAGGGAGAGCGGGCGGAGGGCGGCGGCGGGGTCGACTCCGCAGAGTCCGCAGGCCCGCAGCGATCGCGGGGAGTCGACGGACGGGGGGTCGGCCGCAGCCCCCGCCGGCCCCGCGAGCATGTCGAGGTCCACAAGTGCCACCATCCCAACAGAACACCAGTCTACATGGAAACAAAAGGAGAGAAAGAAAGAAAGAAAAAAGAATGTTTAGAAATGTGGGTTTATGTCCTCCACGGGTATCCTCTTTTCATAGCAAGAGAAATATAATTTCATGGGTAAATATATACTTATATATAATGTTAGAATTGATATTTCAAAAAAAAAAAAAAAAAAAAAAAATCACGTACGATCTGCGAAAGATTTTTTTGGGGGAAAAAGAATGGTACTCGTGGGTTTTAGTAGAGAATACCTTCAACAACTCCAACCTTCATTTTTTTCAAATGGCAACAGGCAATTTTCAATCAACACACCCATGTCGCCTACAATAATAGTATTAATAATAATAATAATAATAATAAAACTTGTCAAAACAGAACAAAAACAAAACACACATAAACACACAACACAAAGAAAGAGAAAAAAAAAAGATACTAATTGTTGATATAACAAAAAATTTAACGGCATAGATCGAAAGACAAAAAAAAAAAAAAAGAGCAACCTAATTCCCATTAGTACCAAGAGGCAATGGGTCTCCACTACTGCTAACACAACAGCTACCAGGCAGCATTGCCAGAATATCCTGGTAGGATGTACGTGTAATTTGTAAAAGAACGCTGTCCTGTACAACTCGACAGCTAAAATTAGGGATATATAACTGATTTGTGAGTGCATCAGCAGCTAATATAGACCATGAGGGTAACTCCATTCGTATTTCTTCTTTTCCTGCAAAAACTTCTACTTTACCTGTGACAACCAACGTAAATACGTCAGAAGGCATACCAGAACGATAAAGCCAAATATTTGCTTTGTCTTCTTGATCAAGTCCACGTGCATCTGGTGGTGGATGAACCCTATAAACAGCTCCATGTAGACTAATAGCTTGTGATAATACCGATCCTGCACCTCGTGAGTATCGGTTTAAATCTGGTAATGATTCCCAGAGAAATAACGCAGATGCCTTTAGTTGATTTGCACTCATATTAATTCTACGAGAACACTTTGGGGTTAGACCGACTTGTCTTTTCATTGGAATTTGAGGTGCAGGGAAAGAAAGTTGAGGATCAGTATCATATTCATCAAATATTTCGCTATGAATAAGTTCTTCAATAACATCTTCCATTGTAACAAGTCCTTTTACTTCATAATATGGATCACCATATGGTCGTTGTTGTACTTCTTGAACCAATGCCATATGTGACTTTCCTGTTTGAAAATAATTAAGCATAGATATAAGTTTCGTCTCGGATGGAACTATATGACACCTTCTATTATAAAATTTTACTAGTAATAAAACAGGAGTATTTTCACGAGGATCAACCATTAATAAATCTTTAGCAAAAAGAACCCCAATAATATTATTTTTATCTCCTTGGTAAATAGGAATACGACTATGACCACGTTCAGAAATTAATTGTATAGTTTCTTCATTAAGTGGTTCACTCGCTTCAAGCATAAGGACTCCTGAAATAGGTCTTAAAACATCCATTACTGTTTTTTCATGAAGTTCCATTGCTCCCATCATGAGATCTACTTCTCGTTCACCAAGACCGGATTCAGATCCTCGTGCAGCATGCATAAACATGAGTTTTTTAAGTTCATTTCGTTCATAAATTTGTCCAGGATCTGTTCCAATAAAACGGTCTAAAACCACACTAAGTGGTTTACAAACTGGATAAAATAATAGTACAAAAAACTTTACAATAGGAACGCTTTTAGATCCAACCTGAAGTGCATGAGCAGACATTAGTGCTTGAGGAAGTACTTCACCCCCAACTGTAGTTAAAGCTGTTGATACAATAGTAGCTACCCAACCATGAATATGAGAATCTGTAATTTGTGCAATTAAAGTATTGACCATGACATTACCAAGAATTAATGTACATAGTAATTGATTACCTAACCGACGTATAGGTAAAATTTTACTTGCATATGTTTTATCTGGTTCAGACCCACTATCGGCAATAATCTCGAGAGAAAGTGTGTCAAGTCCCATGATTGCAAGTGTTAATCCTGCGAATAAGGCTGCGAAGAGTAAAAGAACACCATCCGCAATGATGAGATAGGCCCACTGCACACCATTCATAGTTTCTTCTTCCTCCCCCTCCTCCTTCTCGACAGCAGCATCCACCACCCGCATAACTGCTGTTGTGGCTGCTATTGCTACTATAATGGCAGTCCATAAAGGAAAAAAGGATTTCATGGGATGTCGAACACAACTTTATCTCACGAGATTAATAAATAAATAAAAAAAGACTATGTGAAGAAAACAAAAATAATCAGAAATATATTGACCTTACACAACGAACAAGAAAACAATAATAATAATAAGAAAGACGATGGAAAAAGAAAAGAAGAACCAAAAAAAAAAAAAAGAAATGATATCCACCAAGTCCCTTGAAAAGAGGGATCACTCAAAAACCACACTCTTTAATTATTTTTCTTGAAAATAACCTCACATATGATAAGAAAACACGACACAAACCCATTTCAAACCAAAAATAAATTAAATAAATAAATAAACAAAAAAAAAACTAAAACAACAAAAAAAAAAAACCATATGCAATTTATAACAAATAAAATAAAAGTGAAACAAATACACACTTTAACTGTGAATAAAAACTGTGAAATAAATCTTTTTTTTTTTTTTTTGAATTAATTATGTGATGATTTCAATTGAAGCAGTTCACGCATTAATTCCATCGTTTTAGCGTTCAGGGCACCATTGCCAGTACGACCTTCTCGGATTCGTCCTGTTGACGGTTGCTGAGTTTCCCAAATGATCTCTTGTGCCAGACGCCCCATCAAATCTCTTTCTTTCTCCACAGCTCCCAGGTGATGTTCCATTGACTTCTCCATTGGCGTCATTTTTCTTACTTCTTCCACCCTTAAAGAGGATGAAAAATGAGATGGTCTTTTGGGTGAAACACTGGAACTGCGTTTCCCTGAGAATGACATCTTTCCAATGGAATATGCCGGTGGGAGACGATTCTTCTTGTACTGGTGGCTGTTCCCTCCTCTAACGCTTTCTTTACGATTAGGATTAGTACTCGGTGGGGACAAGAAAAAATTTAGTGATTCGCTCTTGGAATTGGCATCAATTTGGTCCTCCGAGTCAATAAAATTCTTTTGTGAACTACGTATCGTTGATAAGGTTGTACTAGTGACAGGCGTAACTTTTTCGACTCCTATATTGGGTTCAATATCACTCTCAGTGGCAAACATAGCATTGTACACTTCTTCCTCTTCCTCTTCTTTATTATTATTATTGTCAATTTCCTCTTTATGTTTTTGGTCATTATTCTTATTCTTGGAAACCTGAGGTGTTGTTTCTTCTTCTGATTTCAATATCTTCCCCTTTGTTATTTTTTCTCCATTCTTCTTATTCTCTGTAGATAGTACGTCCGTTTCAGCGCATAGTGCTGTAAAGTAACTTTCATCTTCCTCTTTTTCTTCTAGTTTTGTGATTTCTACTTCTTCTTCTTCTTCTTCTGATTGATCTTTATTCTCCCCTTCTTTTGTAGTTTGTTCGCTCTCATCGGATGCTTGGACTGTGTTCTTGACAAGATCCTGTGATGATGGGGAAGTGAGTAACGTAACAGGGGAAAGGTCTGTTCTCTCGTTAGAAATATTTATTACCTCCGGTCCATAAAGTAAGGAGAGATATTGCAGTTGTAGTTGAAGGGACTTGAGAGACGCACCCTGATGAGATATTGCGCCATAGCGTCTAATGCGTAATTCCACATTTCGTATTAACCACATCTCTTCATTCTCATCTAAAATCAAACGATGTAATGTATCAGCGTCCAATTGGGAATTCTCTATTCCACAAAGTCCACACAAACGCACAGCGCACATCGCAATCTGTAACGCAATTGGTATTAATACACCTACTTCTTCTGATTCCACCGTTGTTGTTCTCGTTATTGTTGTTACGCCAAGACGCAATAGAAGAATATGACGATAAAACGAAAGTGATACAGATGGTGGCAATTGGAGTGGAAATCCAGTAAAAAGAGCCAACTTCCAGAGGTTGCAGACTGTCTTAATATTCAGATTTAAACAGGAGCAAATAAGTTCTGTAACAGACTTTTCTACAGACTTACATTCTTCTACATTTGAAGAGTCAACAGCAACAATCTTAACTACCTGCGCAGAGGTAAGAGCCTCGTATACCTCTACGGGAAGTCCACTGTGAGGAATATTAGTCTCTATCAAGTGGTGAAGAGAAGAAATAGTACTCTTAAAGCAGAAAACATCACCATGAACTGTTGCAAGAGTGAGACTGAAGTGATCATTATTGATATCTGCCGTACATTGCAGGCCTAGGAGACGTTCTCCCCGAATATAGTCAAGTATCACTTCATCACCAGTTTGTGGAATATACGGTAATGAGGTGTTAAGAACATTTCGTACATAATTATGATTATAATTATAATCATAACGGTGTCGTTGTTCCTGTCGTACATCATAGATAGTAGTCATACTATTCTTAGTAGTAGATGGACGTAACTCATAGAATTTGTTCGATACTCCACGACCAGTATGAAGAAATTTAGTGTGCAACATGACACTACCAGTCTCATTGCGTTGAATTGCAAATTGTAAATCCGGGTGATGTAATAATGCACGGGCATCTGGAAAACGTGAGATAAATAGAGTTCCAAATACCGAGTGGTATACACCCTGTTCATTAATAAAAACTTCCCTATACACAGTTTGCACATACTTCTCAGAAACCATAAATGTCGGCAATAATAATGCCAAGGCATTTAATGATTGATGAAATATATCTGGGTCACTCTTTAAACTATAATAATCATCTGCTGGTACAGTGAAAGAAACATTTTTAGATAACCGTACAATACTGTAATCATCTGACCACTTAAGAAGAGATGCAAGAGGTGGACTTGTGAGTTGATGCCACTCCAAGACAGTTGAAGTACAAGTGGAACGGTCCCGTAGGAAACGCAAACGTTCTTGAACAAGATGTGTTGACACAAAGTATTTGGGTATAATATTAAAGATTTGCACCTCTAACGCATTTGGATACAACTCCCCAACCATTTTTTTGGGTTTTACATTCCCCTTACCACTATGGTCAATCTTGTTAAGATCAAAATTTGTGCGCCATATCTGTGAGACCCAAGGTTGCCAACTTATAATTGTTTCTTGTTGATTTTCATTTGACTCAGTTAAGGTAACTAAGAGAAACAAAGGGGAAAGACGCATTAAGGCTTCTCTAAAAGTACCAAACGAAATACTTTGTGGTAACATTCCAGCTTGAATCGCCTCATGCCAAATAGCAACCGCGGTTCGAGGTTGATTTGGCACCAGACGAAGTAAATGTTGCGGAGACAAATAGACACAAAGAGGAGATGGTAGTGATGTCATATATTGTCCTAATGCTTCATCCATTTCACTGAGAGCAATAGGCAAACTACTTTTACGTGTGCCTGTAAATTGTAGAAATCGTCGCAAGAAGTGCTTCATTTGAATACAAAGTATTTTCTTGGAGTCCTTGAAGATATTAATAATAATATTATTATTATTAAGGGAAATAAAAAGAAAAAAAAAAAAACAAGAAAGGAGAAAATTGTAATAACAACAGAAAAACACAAAAAAAAACTCATAAACTACATGACAACCATAATAAATTTGGTGGAATTATCCTCCTTCTTTTTTTTTTTGTATTTCATTTGCTTCCCCATTATATATATATATATATATATATATACGTTGCCTGTACAGTGTGGTAGTGGTGGCAGTGGTTGGCAAATATTGTTGTTCTGCATTTCCGCACCCCCTCTCCCCTCTCCCTTTCCCCTTTCTCTCCCCTCTCTCTTCTCTGTGACTACATCTTTAGAAACGGTTCAGAGAGAACGACAGAGTCACGACGCGAGGGCGATGTTGTCTTTCCATCTGCTGTTGAGCAGGATCGTCTTTCGCCACTCTGGAGTGACTGCAGGTCGACGGAGCTGGCGAGGACGGAGACGGCGCTGAGGCAGGCGCGGCGGGTGGTGTCGCCGCAGAGGCTCGCGGGGGAGAGGGACGCGAGGAACTGCGAGGGGGCGTCGTCCGGCGGGAGGGGGAGGGCGCGGGGGGGCCGCGGGCCGGCGGCGGCGCGGTGGAGGACGAGGCGCTGCAGCTGCAGGAGGTCCGGGAAGAAAAAGAACTTCACCGCCGCGTACATCGCCAGCGTCACGAGCGGCACCGCCACGCCCAGCAGCCACTGGAGATAAAACCGCCCGTCCCGCAGCAACTCGCGGAAGGACGGGGTGGAGGCCACAAGGGAGTAAACCGTGAAAAGAAGAAACAACGCCGCCACAGACCACAACAGGGCAGACCAATGAAGTAAAGTAATGGAGTGTGCCTCCAGAAGGATGATGCTCGAATGGAGCGTTACTAAAGCAAAGCAAGAAACATAAAAATCGCAAGAACGATCTACAGGATGACCAGATCGCATTATTCCCCCACTCGCATCAAGAAGAGAACCCATAGAAAGAAAAAAAATTACCGTACCATGAAGAAATCCTCTAAATATATATCCATAAAAGGTTATCGTATTAAAGTATCGTCCTCTTTGAGATAGAGTGTATAACTTTGAATTACCAAGAAGAATTGATGATGACAATGGCATATTCATTGCACATAAAAATGTTACTGGTGCTGTAAAGAAAGAGTTATACATAGTTAGTGCAAAAGAATCCCAAAATGTAACTCCAGAAAATTCTGCATATATATTAAAAAGTAATTGCATCCATGCTAAAGTAACTGTTTTCCAAAAACTTTGTTGTACTATAATAGCAGATCGTTGAAAAGCGGTATGACCATGAAATAATAATAACTTAGATAAGAAAGAAAATTGTGATAAAACTATATCGGAAGCTGCTGCTGCCTGTCCACCTTCTTTTCCTTTTATACCAACACCTACATGAGCACATTGAATCATTGAAACATCATTTCCCCCATCACCAACAGCTAATGTTACATGTCCTGCTTTCTTTACAACACGTACAACAAAAGATTTTTGATCTGGAGTCATACGACTGCAAATAACTGTTGAAGCATGTAATAATACTCTTTTAAAATCAGAAAAAAGTTCATTATTATCATGTCCTTTAAGAAGTTCAAGTGTTTTACCAGAGAAAGAGATAACATAACCCTTACATTCCTTTGATGATACACTAGATAACATTGCTTCCCTTTCACCTCTTAAAATATCATCATAAATTTGTTGTTGTTCTTGTTCTTTATGTGAATTATTATTATTATTATTATTATTATTATTATTATTATTATTATTATTATTATTATGATAATAATAATAGTGATCTTGTTGATCTACTTCTATTTTACGACATTTCGTTTGAGCCATAAGGGATAAAGCAGATTTATGTTTAATGAAATCATCAACTATCTCAGAAAGTCCAGATCGTACATAGGTAGATGAAAGGAAAAGATGCTCCTTTTCAGCTTCTTCAAATTGTTTTCTACGCAAAGCATAATTAATACGATCTCTAACATACTCTAGGTGTTCACGTTCTGAGATAGATTCTACATCATCTGGTGTTAAGGCAACAATTCTTTCATCTGGACCTACTAGACCACTAGCAATAGCAGTCTGTTTAGCAGTTTGACTTTTATCTCCAGTTAACATCCATACTCGCATTCCAGCTAACCTCATCTGTGCAATCGTATGAGAGAGATTATCTTGTAACTGATCTTCTACAGCAGCAATACCACAGTAGATAAGATCTTTCTCTATATGTTCATACGATTGAGTAACATTTAATGCACGAACATCTGCAGAAATAACAGCTCCTGCTTTGCGAATTTCTGTAAGCCAATTTTGTGCTTCTTCTTCAGAAACATAACGATAAGCACTCACTAAAATCCGAAGTCCTTCACGACTTAATCGACTAATCATATTCAAACTTGAAAACCCACTATAAGAACTCGTTACACATCTAGGTAGTACACTTTCATCTGATCCTTTTGTTACAAGAAGATATTGTGAATCTCCATCTAGTTGAAGAAGAACACTCATTCGACGACGTTCTGGAGTAAATGACAATACCTGAAGTATAGTTGCAGATTCAACTTTTTCACCAAATGCCACAAATGCTCGTTTACGAGTTCGTTCAAGTAATTTTACACCAAGATGTGCAGCTCCTTCCACTAGTGCTACTTCATCTGGTGAAGGTGAAACCCACGCGGAGGTTGGTGGAGCCCCTAAAGATGATGGTTGTGCCACATTTGCAGTCACATGAATAACACTTTCTACAGTATTGCAGTAAACAAGTGTACGCATTAATTGTAAGAGTAAATCATCTTCTTTTAAAGATCTTTTAAGGTAAGATGCTTCATGAGGTACATCAGGGGCAAACATTTTATCATTTGCTGTAACAATACAATTAAGATTCATACAATTTCGTGTTAATGTACCTGTTTTATCTGTTAAAACATATTCCACACGTCCAAGGTCTTCTGTAAGGGAGGAATTATGAACTTCGGCATCTCCATTCTCATCTGACATATCTTTATCCCACATAATAAGTCTACTCATATACGCTTTGGATGCATCCACCATAACTTTAAATGAAAGTGGTACCATCGGTGATACTAACAAAAAAAAACGTAATGGTAATACCATAGTATATTCTGTTAAGGCAATTTTGTCATAAGTTCCAAGATACCAAAGTTTCCATTGATCTTTTCGTAATTGTGTAACTGATAAAGCCACAAATACAAAAACTAAAAGAAATTGAAGAATAAAAACAACAAGTACCATTCGATTAAAGCTTTGATCAATAATAGACCATTTTGTTGGTGGAGCAGCCCGAGTCATGGCAACTCTCGTTTCATTACCTGTTAATACAGCAACTCCAAGAGCGAATCGAGTATTCTTTACAACACTCGTATTAAGAGCAACATTTTCAGCACTTATACCAAGTAATACTTCTTCATCTTCAGCTTCATTACCATGAGGCATTCGTGCTCTAACAGCTCCAGTAAAACTGTTTAAAAAAGGTTTTGGTCCTTCAGATTCAATAATACAATTGGCATCTCTGATAAATTCTGCTGCCGCACGTATATCACTCTCATCATCTTGAGTTGAATCAACAGTAAGAACACTTGAAGATGGTCGTTGTGCGTACATGTCACTTAAGACTGCGTAACGTTTTTTACAAGCCGTTTCACCATCTAAAGCTTCAGTTGATATTGTTACTTCACCATTATCACCTGAGGAAAGAAGTAAAACAACATCACATGGGACCACTTGCATAGGTAACAAAAGAATAACATCTCCCACTTGTATATCACTACATTTCACATCTTCAATAGTGAGTCTTTCAATATCAATAACATTATATCGTCTAGAATTACAAATGTTATCCAGACGATGTCTACGCCAGTCATCAACACCCTCCTTAATAGCGGTAATTAAAAAAGCAATAGTCAATGGAACAAGTGTAGTAAATGGACTTACAGGAGATAAAGACGGCACAAACTGCAATGCCGTAACTAGCAAAAAGTAAAGATTAATTGGACGGTGAAACTGCTCAAAGAGGTTAATGGGAAGAAATGTAAGAATAGTATACTTATGGCTCTTCATTCTATTGTCACAATACTCATTAGTTGGATATCCAGGACGGATTGTTCGTCCCTCATCCCCTTCGTTTCTCCTACTGGGGCGACACAAACGAAGAAGTTTACCAGCAATTCCCATCGGCACACACTGAAGACTAATAGTAAAAAGGAAAAAATAAAAATAAAAATAAAAATAAAATAGTGTGGCTAAGGAAAATATTAAAATAGAAAAAAAAGAAGAAAAGAAAATATAATATTAAGAGTAAAAATTGTGAGATTATTTTTGTAAGAGCAATGAAATCATTAGTACCACATCAAAGAAAGAAATAAAAAGAAGAAGGAAAATGTGTATAAGCAAATAAAAAAAAAAGAACAAGTACGAAAAAAAAAGTCAAATTCAAAAACCCAATCAATGTAAGTGTGTATGTGTATGTGAATGGGGAGGGAATGAAAGAAGGAAGGAGGGAAGGAGGAAAAAAAGAAAAAGAAATGATACTTACAACATTCATAGAGTTTGAAGTATCTCCTCCATCTTTGATGCTGCTCGCTCTTTTAGTGTTGCGCCTGCCTCAAGGTGAATAAATGTTTTGCCAAACCTCCAGGCAAGCCAGCAGTAAACTTCTGCTTGACGATAGATATACTCCATTCTTGTCAATATGTGTTGTGCCTCTCTAGAATTCCAACGATCATGCAAAGTTTCATATTGTTTAAGTAATATTTGAAATTCTTCATCAATCCGTAGACGCACAGGTTGTCCCGCAGCGTGATCTTTAGCGAATGCTCTCAATAAATCAAAACTCTCTTTACTACGATCATTTAATGGCACATAGCAGAAAAGGATTCGATCACTCAAAGAAAGACCACGTACAGTTTCAAGTTCTTTAGCAATTTGTAAGAGTGATCGGGAAAGATCACATGGGAAAAAGATATCTGAAGATTGACAACATCTTGCAAACTCTTTAATTTTTTCATAAAATGAAACTTCATTCCCATTTAAATCTTTTATCTCCTCATTTGTAGCATGTAATCTAATATAAAGTTCAAGTATATCCGCTGTTGGGAGTAAACCCGCCTTTAGTAAAGGAGAAAGACGACTATTCATAGCATCATGAAGCACCGAAAAATCTTCAGAATGAAGAGTTGTACAACGTCCTATTATTTTAGATCGGGTTAATCCGAAGCGACCAGCACGTCCCGCAACTTGTATAGCTGTTGCTTGTGGTAATGTTATCATTTGTTTTCCATCAAATTTCTTAACTGTTGTAAAAACAATACGTTCAATATTCATGTTTAATCCATAAGCTATCGCATCTGTAGATATCAGAATATGTTTTTTCGTACCCTTTTCTTGAATAGTTTTTTCAACACCATTATTAAATGCCATTGCCTGTGTTTCACGCACAGCAAAAGGCATTGATCCATAAATACAATGTGGAACAAGACCTGGAAGTTTTTCCAACTTGGCTTTCATATCAAAGATTGATTTTCTTGAAAAACAGACTAAACAATCACCATTTTCTAAACTCCTCAAGTTACCTCTCAAAGATGGGGAAACTTCCAGTGGAACAAGACGTTTGTGTTCCACTAGTGTAACCCCACGTAATTCACGTGTTCTGTACAATAAATTTTTTATGAGCGTAATGGCACGTTCTTCCCCACAAAGGTGAATTTCACGTGCTGGAAGTCCTAATAACGCACGAGTCCATGCCCATCCCCGATCTCTGTCAGAAATCATTTGCACCTCATCAATAACACCAACATCAATTTGATAATCAATAGGTGTCATTTCTATTGTACAAGAGACATGTTCTGCACCACCACCAAATTTACGTTCATCGCCAATAAGCAAATCACATGGTACTTTCTCATTTATTCGTTTCCATACTTGCGCCGCAAGCGCTTTAAGAGGTGCACAATAAACACCACTTTTCGCTTTTACTAAAGCCTCCAAGGCAGCATGTGTTTTTCCACTGTTAGTAGGACCATAGTGAAAAATAAACCGACGATGCATATATCGAGCCTTTGGGTACCAATTCCATGGTTCATGCATCGTTACCTTTTCTGGGGCCTTGCGTTTAACGTACCAATCTTCAAAATATTGTAAAACAACAGCGATGCGACCCAAATCATCCGATATATCTACGAGTTTAGTGTGCCAAGAGCAGTTATTTACCGTAGAAGATGTGTCCTTACAGAACTCACCCAAATGCCGCAGTGCATTCTCCACAGATGCCTCATGAATAATTTGGCGTAATTGTTCACGGGCAGAGCTACTGGAGTAAATCTGTTCACATACCTTTTGAATAAGTTCATTTTCACCACAAGATGTGCAAGTCCTTCGCTGCAGAGAAGGAAGGTAGAAAACCGCCAGCACCCTACGCATCCTCTCTAGGCAGAGAACCTAACTCTACCACCCTTCTTTATTGGTAGAGAAATACACACACAGATACAGATAGAGTCAAAGACTCACACAACCACCGCCTCCACAGCTGAAAAATGAGATGAAAAAAAAAAAAAAATAATAAAGAAACAACTACAAGGGATAAAAGCAAAAATAATTTCTTTAAAAAACAAAACAAAAAAACAGCACAAAAAAAAAAGGAAAAACGAAAAACAATAGTATATGATCACATTATCTGTGACCTCTCACTTTTCTTTTTCAAGCTTTGAGAATTCTAATAATAAGAATAACATGCTTAACCAAAGGGAAGGCAAACGGTGGTGGTGTCTGCTGTAACCCTTTTTCTTTTCGTTCTTTTTTTTTCCCCCTCTTCTTTTCTTTTCTTGTTTAAGTATTGTTTTTTTTTTTTTTTTGTACACACTCTTTCTCCGCTTTCTCTTCTTTCATTAAAGCAGTGAGGTCATCTGCACAAAGTCATCAGCCTACATTATACTGCATGTCTCTGTTACATTTTCCCTCTCTCACTTTGTTTGCACGTGTGTATGCGTGCAAACTTTCTTTTTTTCTTTTCTTTCTCTTGATCTTTTTTTTTGTTTTATTTTTTTTTTTTTCTTCTTTGTGGTTCATCCATCCTACACCTGCAGTGTGGCCAAAGAATACGACTGAAGACAAACAAACAAAAAAAAAAAAAAAAAAAAACAGATCTCTTCTATTGCATACGAACACGTACACAGACTAACATTTTTCTTCTTCGTTTTGGCCATTTAAACCATGTGACAACTCAACTCCCTCATCTGCTTCACCAAACAAAAAGTCCTTCTCGTGCTCCCGTAACAGTTCAACACTTCGACGTAGATCAATAAAAAGAGAATAAACTTTCTTAATATCATGTATAGAAACTGTAGATGCCCGACGTTTTTGTGCCACAAGATTTGCAGTTGTAATGAGTTGAAGGACATACCGTAATGATGTACTCTTTCCCAGCATAGTGAGTAGTGCAATTGCATCCTCATCCATCTCAACATCTTCCTCTTCACAGCGAATATTAATAATTTTACTCAGTTCCGCCTCTGTGTATGGTTTTGTAGTGATAATTACCATTCGATCAAGAAGATCAATAGGAATGCCATGTGGTGCCTTATACTGTGTACCACGAATACGGGAAATACCACGGTTAGAAGCCATAACAACAACCGGTGCAAGTGGACTCTCAAGTGCACGATTTAACCATGAGAAACATTCAATATCAAGCATATGTACCTCATCAATAAAGAGTACTCCAGGAATAATTTCTCCTTTTCCCTCTTCTCGCCACTCAGCCACACGTTGATCAATCTGTTCTCGTACTTCATGCTTAATTTCTCCAGTATCACCAGCAAACAAAGCAAGAAATCCTTGTTGTCTTGAGTTAATAACATCAACTTCATGTAACGTCACTGTATGTACAACTTCCTTTCGTTTAGATAATTCACCCTCGGGAGTTTGTACAAACCTTGTATTAGATGACATAGCATCATAATCTTTGCTACGCACAAAGCTACGACCTAGCTTGTTAATGCGTCCAGTTGCCTTATCAATTGTAATAACGTCTCCTACCTGTACTTTTTCCTTTTGAAGGCTTTCAATCATCTTTACACCAAGATCAAAGGTAGACTCCATATCTGATGTCTTCAACACCAGTTGTCCGGTACGTCCCTTCGCCTCTGCTGGATTTGTAGAGGGTCGCTCCACAGAAATTTCTACTACCTCTCCCTCTATCATCTCCGTCTCTTCCTTAATTCGTACACCTATGCTGCGTCGGAACGCCTGCGTAAGGGCCTCTGTTTTGGACATCTCCAACGAAAAAATTTCACTCCCGGCGATCATCGTAAATGGTGTCTCTGCTCCCAGTGCCTGTGCCATTCCCATTGCGATGGCCGTCTTACCTGTACCCGGTCCACCAGCTAGAAGAACGCAGCGACCGGCAATCTTTCCCTCACGGATCATCTGCACCACCACACCTGCGGCGCGGCGAGCCTCGAGTTGGCCGACCATTCCCTGGCTGGTCACGCGGGCCTCGAGGGCGTCGTCAAGCCCAAGGCCGCGGATGTGTGAGTGGGCCCCAATGCGCTCCACTCGCGTGAGGTCGCGGGCCTCATCGGTACGGATCGTCGTCTCCGTCATGTCTACACCCACTGCGGTGTCAGGGGTATGATGAGTGGCGGGAGATGGCTAGGGCGTAAGGCGTAAAGCACAGAAGCTCCTAGAAGAGACGAGGGAAAGATAGAAGGCTTTATGTGTCCCTGCAAGGAGGCGTTCAATCTTATAAGAAAGAAAAAAAAAAAGAAAGAAAGTAAAGGAGAAAAAAAAAAAATAATAATTCTAATTAATACTATATATGAAAGGTACCAGTAGATTAGAAGTAGAAAAAGAGCATTTGAATCAAAATAACGACACAATAACATGCTATGGAAATTCTGTCTTTTTATTTCTTTTGCTTCCTTCATCTCAATTTTTTTTTCCCCCGTTATTCCTGCTGGTAAGAATATTATGGAATAAACCAAATTTTTGAGGTGGGAAGTAACCCCAGATCATATCCTTTGTCTCGTATCCTACCCACTTCAGACTTTAGTCAAAGTTTAGATGCTGCCACTGCTTTCTCTGCGATTTCGGAAAACTTCTTTTTTGCCTCTTCCTTGCTCAGATGTTCGTACTTTTTGTAGGCGCTCCACTTAGCATACGCTACAAGGCTTAATCGAGAAGGTTGAGACTTCTTATTGGGACCGTACATGGCCTGATTCCACAGTCCGTAAAGCTCAAGTTTAGTGGTAAGAGACATAGGTGGACGTGTGGCCTTTGTCTCAACAATTTTAGACAGGCGTCGAAACCTTTCATCGAGCGATTCCCGAGACATCTTTTCGGCTTGTGTACTTTCCTTTCACTTGAAGCAAAAGAATAAGAGTTATAATATTATAATAGACATTACAAGATATAATTATCCTTTTTATCAAAGATACATAATAGCTATTATTCTCACAACATTTGCCACAAAACTAAAGAATGGAAACAAACCAGGTAATGGCAAAAGTCAAAATTAAGGTATACACCCCATTTTTAACCACATGCATACACACAAACACACACACACACAAATGTCAACCAAGTAGGAAAAAAAAAAAAAACAACGAAAAACAAAGCGAATATAAGTATTATTCTGAGAGCATAACTTTGGAACTACACCGTGCGCACAACAAAACGGCCAGAACATGTAATGTACTTCACACCCTTGTATGGTTTCCCTATTTCATTTAAAACTTGTACACTGTCTACGCGAATACTACTCATAAGGTAATTTGGTATGGTAAACTCAACAATAGCGGAGTCACCTGTACAGGGCACCACACCATTGCCATCTTTTTCTAAACCAATAGTAAATTCCCCACTCAGTGAACATGTACTGCGGAAAAGTGTTCCAATTGACCATGTCAACACGCTACGAGATTTATTAAAATTTGTGGAGCCTTGTGTGCTACTATGGACGTGCACTGACTCAGTTTGCGGAGGAAGCGGAAGATGAATGACAACTTTATGAATTTCATATTCCTTGCTTTTCATAGAAAGAACACCTCCTCCTCCTCCTCCTCCTCCTCCTCCACCTCCACGAAGCCCTACCATGCAGTTGAATCGACCACTATTTGCGTCAAATGTAATTTGTGGTGCAACATAGAAAGGTATTTGTACATCTAAAAGTGGTTTACAACGATATTGCATGAGTGTGAACTTCCCATCAGGAGGGATAAAACATATAGTTCGATCAATTTCATACCTACTTCGGCGAACACAGCGATGAAAAGCAATATCATCTACAAAATCTAAATTTGTCAAACGCATTACAACATCTGGCATTCCACTTAGACGGCAATTAACTTCAACTGCACCACGTACCAAAGCTCGCACGAGACCTCCTTCTGAATCTACAATACAATCCAACTGTTCCACAACATCAAAAAAAATCTCATTAGAACCATGCCGAGTTGATGGATCCCGCCAAGGGACGGAGCGTGCACCCATGCCTCGACGTTTTATTTTTGCAGGTGCATCCAAGACGTTGCGGAACTTATTCTCTAGTGTTGGTGGCACAACTAACTCCTCTAGCACATGCATCTCCGTTGTTAATGGGTATCCATTGTCAATGAGTTCTTCTAGAAGTTGATACACCACAGAAAAATTTTCGCGCAATGTATTCTCCGAGAGAACCTTAAGATATCCTTGTACCACCTTTGCTATGAGAGAGAGAATCTCCATAACAAGAAGTGGAAAAACTTCATTCGTCACAACCGCTAAGAGAACAACATCATTGCGGTGAATCTGTACAAAAGCAAAACGACTATAAGGAATCACTGAAGAGGCTTCAGTCACAGAGCGTAGTGGTGTCATGTATGTACTCCAAAAATCCTCAAGTATGATACGAGGGCATCTCTCACGAAACTGTTTCTCAATTATCACTTCACCCTGGTGATTCAGGAAAAAAATACTTGAAATCATGCTTTTCACAATGGTACAAGAAGCACAAACTACTATAAAAATAACAAACACCTAGAGAGGTTCCCTTCTTCTCCATTAAGGAGACACAAAGAGATTACGAGGAAAAAAAAAAACACCCAAGAAACAAAAAAAACCAACCAGAAAAAGAAAAAAAATTAAAAGAAAAAGCGCAGGAAGCTAACGGCAACCACCACTACAGCGGAATTCCATCAACGAATATACTTCATTAACAACACTTTCACAAAGAAACAAACACCCCAGTTGAAAGTGCAACAAGGAAAAAAAAAAAAGAACAGCATATCACCCTTCCCCACCATAGTGAGACAACAGCTAACACAGAAATACACACACACATAAATATAATGAGAATTTCACCCCCACACACTTTCTTCTTTTTCTTTCTCTTTCAATCTTTCCCTTATACTGGTTCACCAAGGCATCGGTAATAATAATGGGTCACGCAATTAAGCTGTTCCTTTGTTTCATCGATTTCTCGTACCTTGTTGTGTTGTTAAACCTTTAATAGTATTTCTCTCCTACAGGGTTAACATCTGTCATAACATTTTTACTATGCCGCACCCCGCGATGCCCCGCCGCGTGATCCGCCACGGCCGCTGCCGCGTTGGCCTCCGTAGTTGCCGCCACCCCGTGAGGAGCCCCGTGCAGCCCCTCCGCTGCCACGACTGCCGCCGCCCCTCGTGGCGTTTCGAGGCCCACGGCCACGGCCACCGGCGGTGGACTCACCGGGCTCACGCTCCTCCTGCTCCTTCACCTCCTCCTCCGGCAGCGGCGGCTGGTAGCCAACGTGGTTCTTGTCCAGCGGCTTCAGGGAGAGCGTGATGAGGATTGTTGACACTTTCCGCTCCACCTCAAGTCGTTCCTTCTTCTCGTCAACAGGCTCGTACTCGTCACGGATGACCTCCGACGAAATGTCAGTCGTCTGGTGCAGACCAGCCACACGCCGCTTCACAATCTCAGCAATGTTCACTGCGTTGTGGATGGCAGCTCCCATGGCGCTGATCTTGACGGTGTCATACTGCGTCTTCCCTTCCTCACCACGGAGCAAGGCAATTGCGTACGCAATATAGCTGCGCTGACCGTGCTTCGACGTCACACGAATCTCGTTCTCTGGTCCCTGACCCTTCTCCTTCTCCCCCTCCGCCTTGCGAACACGGCGGTACTCATCACGGGATGGGTATGTCGGCATCAGTGTAACGTATGTAGGAATGCTGATTAAAGTAGATCTTTTCTTGTATTACAAGTAGAGTGAATAAAACTTACATTGCAAAAATTAAGTAGGAAGAAGAGAAGAAAAAGAGCAAGTTACAGGTTTAGAGTGCTTTTTTGTTAAGAGGAAGGACTGAGATGGGGTAGAAAGTAAAAATCCCACCGCAACTCTTCACATCCCTCCTCTTAGAGAAGCCAATATGGGGTGACGTATGCCGTTCCCCCAACAATTGCTCTCATTTAGTAGATGCGAGCAGCATAAGTTTCGTGCTGATATCCTGAATAAAGATCTGTGTTTTTTTTTTTTTTTTCCTTCTTCCCTTCATTTCTTTCTTTCTTTCTTCTCTCATTCTTTCACTCTCAGCCCTCAATGGCCATTGTTTCTTTTCATCCCTTCCTCTCCTTATTCTTTTTTTTTTTTTTTTGCTTTTCCTCCTACCATCCTTTCTCAATGACCATCCTTTCTCAATGTGTCCCATTTTCAGGTGTCAATCCTCGTATATCCTCAAGAAGCACACACCCACATATATATATACAAACATCAAAAGTGAGAAAGTGAAGAAAAAAAATAAACACAGACATATACACGTACAAAGAAAGGTGAGAATCGAAATAAAAAAATGAGAGAGAGAGAGAGAGATAAAGAGAAAAAAAAAAACGGGGTAGCATCTGCACATAGCTGTTTCTTTAACGTTCCTTTTTTTTTTTTTTCTTTGTACACCTACCCAGCTATATATCACTTCAATCTTTCTCTTTTCTTTCTCTCACTTCTTCTCAAATTTTCTTTTGCAGTATGTGTAAACGACTTTTTTCTATATTCTTCTCTTTCTTCTCTTTCCTTCATTTCTCCCAGTACGGTTATATACAGGGCAATGTCTGAGTACAATAGGTGGGCATGCACGTTTATGTATCCTGTTGTTCTTCTGTTATAAGTGTAAACGGGAGACATGAAGTAGGTGGTCAGCGGCTGGCAACTGATTCCAGCATAGGGCAACAACAAAAGCAACGAAGAAGTATATATATATATATATAAAAAAAAAAAGAGGGGCTACAGACATACGTGCACATAGAGAAAGAAAGACATACCATACATACACACAAATACGCAACAGCAAGACGTGAGTATCGTGTGGGTACATACGTACATAGATGCAACGCTGAGTGAATGTATCTCCTTTGCTCCTCCTACCCTCCCACTCCCATTCGAATGTGTTGAATAAAAAAAAAAAAAAACTCCTCACTACAAAGGAGAAATGATTGCAAGGAAAAACAACAGAAGAGAACGAATTGATATATGTTGTTGCCTACAGCATCCACTCACCCCATCCAATAAAATGGTAAATTCCCGAGTTTGTATTTTTACACAACAATCAATACAGTTTCACCAGTAGATTCTCCTTTTTTCATTTCTCTTTCTTTACCGTGTGATCTTTTCCTTGTTTTTCTCTTCAACATGTTAATACTTTTCTATCCTAAACACTTATCATAAGGTCTAAAAAATGCCTTAGCATTTGATCTCTTATTTTATCAGCTCTTTCTTTTCGTCTTGATGGTCGTACTTGGGAAATTTGCTTATTTAATACTTCTTCTACAGTTGTTTTTATTGTTCTCCTTTGGAAAGGGGACAGGGTTGTGCTATTTATCTACGAAAAAATGGTGTTATTGCCTCTCTCCCTCTCTCTTCCTCTGTCAATCTCCCTGTCGTGTTTGTTTCGTTTTCATTTGGCCTCAATTATAAAATTTCCCCCTTTTTTTTTCGATTTTCATTTTCTTCCCATATCTCATTCCTTCCTTCATCGGGGAAGCAAAAACACAGACCCACAAAATGCAGGTAGTCACTACACCCAACGAAGCACATAATTTTCGCGTTCACATTCATTGCTGTTTACACCTCATCCCGGGCGTTTACCTCTTACTCTGCACGGCGGTCATTGCGACGATCAGGCGCCCCACCCCGCGATGCCCCGCCGCGTGATCCGCCACGACCGCTGCC